ATAATAGGAGGGAGAGAGAGAGAAATTTCTAGCTCTAAGGAGTTTTGGACGAAATTTTTGTGGCCTTGAGAATTGTGCCCAAGCTGTCTATTTATAGGCATCAAAAAGTTTCCAGAACGGCCCGTTCCAAATTCAGAACAGCCTGTTCTGGACTGTACGTTGTGTGTTAATTTCGTATACTAGAACGGCCCATTCTGAAACCAGAACGACCCGTTCCAGAAGTGAGATTAACACATAATTGCCTAGACTAGAATGGTCATTCCAAACAAGAGTTTGTAGGTCATTTTAATAACTTGGAACGGCTCGTTCCAGTTAAGATTTTAGCCCTTTTTTTGAGGAGTTTGGAACGGCTCGTTCCAATTTAGGAATAGCCCGTTCCAAACTAGGGTTTTAGGCCCTTTTAGGAACTTGGAACAGCCCGTTCTGGTTTTGCAACAGCCCGTTCCAGGCTACTAAAACCAACTTGTTTGGGCTTTTAGGCCTCCTAATGTCTTGTCTTGTTATTCCCATGCTTTGGGAGTTCATTTTCTTGATAATAGACGTCCATTTTTTTGTTTGTATGCCCCCTAGACGAAATTGGGTGTCTACACTCAAGAGTCCCAAACCATGGAGAATTCCTTAAGAACTTCACGAAGGAATTCCTCCTTTGTGCTTGGTTCCTTCAGTTTCTTCCCCTTCAAGGAAGAAACCGAACCCCTTGAGTTGTGATGGAACCTCTTAAAGATGATTGATGTTTCTTCAAGTTGAACCATCCAAGTCCCTTCTTCTCTTAAGGTTCTTCACGTCAATGAAGGATTGAAGGAGATTCAAGCTTCAAATGCTTGAAGAGGCAACCTAAAGAGGTTCGATTTCTCTAGAAGGAGAGAAACTTGAGGAACCAAGCACAAAGGAGAAATTCCTTTGTGAAGTTCTTAGGAGAGGGAGAATTCTCCACGGTTTGGACTCTTGAATTGAGAGAGAATTTTCATAATACAATGGAAGGATTTAGGATTTTATAGAAGTAGGTAGCTTTGGGAGCAAGCTAACCTTAACCATGGTTCACTAGGAATCATGGTTGAGTTGCTTGACCGTCCAAGCTAGTTAAGAGGCTTGTGGAGCAAACTTCTCACTTAACTTGACGAGTAACAAAGAAAAACAAGAATCAAAAATAAATGAAACAAGAATAAAAAAATGAAACTAGAAATTGAAAAGCAGAGAAGTGCATACCATCACTTTGATTCCTACCTTCCATCGGCACGAGGTCACCAGAGTGAAGAACAAAGAGAAGAATCTTAGCGAGATAACAAAGAAAAACAAGAATTAGAGAGAAAAGAAACCAGAATCAAAAAGAAATGAAACAATAAATTAAAATGCAGAGAAGCGCATAACATGACCTTAATTTCTACCTTTCATGGGCACAAGGTCACCAAGAGTGAAGAACAAAGAGAAGAAACCTAGCGAGTAAGAAAGACAAACAACAACCAGAAAGAAAAAAAATCAAATTAAAAACCAGAAAATGGAGGAAAAAAAAAAGGAAAAGCAATGCATGAGCACCTCCCTGTGGAACCTTCGTCCTCGGCCACCACCACCTATGACCAGAAGAACACCGTGTTCGCTTACGCAAGAGAGGATAACTCCGAAGAAGCGAAACTCTTAGCGGTGGAAAACTCTTGGCAGTGAAAACCGAGTCTCACAAAACAATTATATATAGAGAGAGGAGGGCCAAAGAGATTGTTGAATAAGTTTACCCGGTGGAAAGGAATACCTAAGGGACTATAAATAATAAGACTTGCTTATAATTGTATTTTTTCAAAAATTTGGTAAAAATTGTAACTTAAGAAATAATTCCTTCAAAGTTTTAAATATTAAAAAAAATTATTTTTATAATTTTATTTATTCTAATATGGATTCTTTTGTGAAATTTGATTAATAAGTGTTATTTAAAAAGTATAAAAATATTTTATTTATTTGTGTTTTAATTCTTAAGCTTTTTAAAAAAAATTAATAAATGTTCATTAACTTGAATAAAAAAAATCTATTTTATGATGTTTCTTATATTTTTATTTTTTTAAAAAAAATAAAATACACACTTAAGTAGAATTTTAATCTCTTATTTCAATTTTTTTATTTTTTATCCTCTAAATTATATATATATATATATATAGTATGATTGAACTTAACTAAATATAAAACTCGAAGAGGTTATCATCGTTAAATTAAATATCAATTATATTTTAATGACAGTATAGATATCAACTATATTAGATAGCATATGTCAAGAAAACAATTAAATAAATAGTAATTGTAAAGATGCATACAAAATAAAAAATGTACAATTACTATGTTATCAATTTTTAATTTTTATTTTGATTAGATTTTAAATCAATTAGTATTAATAATTTAGTAAATTTTTATAATTAATAACGTTAATTAATATTCTATTGCATTAAAAATATTAAATACATATTAAAAAAAATTCCTTCACGTTATAAAAATGATTCAAATATAGTAAATATAATTAAATATATTTTTTTGTTATATAAGTTTACAATAATTTATATATTAAAAGTAAATTTTGTTTGAAATATTAACTAAAACTATCATAAAAATGAAATATTTTGTCATGTAACTAAATTCATAAATAATTAGAATTTAAAAACAAATTATAGATATAAAATAATTTGAATTAGATTATCTTAACTGAAATTTGTTATTATCTATTTTATCTTTTTTTTAAATTATATTTTTATTTTCTATTTATTTATTTACTAACTTCTTTGAGAGTTCTATCTCATGGTTCTTTAAAATCTCATCTTCTAGAGTATCATCATCTCTCTTGAACAATATCGGAAGCATTGCATCAACACCTAACTCAAAATCACACTATGATTTTTGCACTATTAAAAATAGATGACCAATATTAAAAGAAAACTCACACTTAAGTGATTTTTCTTTAAATGTATATACATTTTTTTTAATTTTTGCACTTTATAATTATCATTCTTTGTTCAAGTTTTTCTATTTGTTTTATTGAAAATTACATTTATTAGTTTGTTCTTTTTATGCTTGTCAGTGAGAGGATTATTATGATGTTTTCTTGAATTTTATGTCATGAAAGTCATAGAGGTCCTGAATTATTTTTAGTTATTCTTTTATTTTAAGTTGTTGCTTTTAGTGCAAAATTAACTTAATTTAATAAGAAGATTGTCATATAAGAAGTAGAAGAAGAGTTACTTAAAGAAGATTAGTGACAATATTTTAATAACTATTAGTATTAATCAAAATGATCGCTTAATTTTATAGACTACTTAAGTTTTTAGATAGATTTAAGATGTATGTTTTGAAATATAGTTTAATTAGAATTTTATATTTAGGTGTTACTGTTTTAAATGTTATTAAAATATTTGGTTAACATCTTTTATTTTTGTAATGTCTTTCTATTCTATTGAATTATTCATTTTCATATGGTAGGATGTCCTTTTTCTACAATGTTAACTATGTGAGTTTATTATGATAATAAACAATGGAATGTTATTAAAGTAAGAAACCACATGCCAATAAAGATTAATAATGATTTAAAAAAAAAATTAGCTAAATTGTTATCCAATTTAAAAGATTATATTTAATTTAAAATTAAAATATTAAAAAAAATTCAGTAAAAAAAATTAAAAAAAAATCTAATAAAACACGATGATAACTTTAAACAAAAGATTATTTAAAATAGTTTATACAAAAACACTTAATCTATTATAAGAAAATAAGTCACTAAAATAATTTTAACGAAGATAATGCTATTATAATAAAATAAATCATTTAACTAAATCCTAAAATTTTAAACACTAAATATAAACCTTTTTTTATTTTTCAAATCATCTAAGTATAAAAAGTAAAAATATTTCATTGTCCCCAATTTAAAAAAAAAATACCAAAATAATTATAAGATTTATAATTTTTTTTCATGTAAATATAATTTGATTATAACTTTTTTTCATTTATTGAATTATCTGAAATTTAAAATTAAAATTCTTAAATATGTCGATAAAAAATTCATCAAAATAATTATAAGATTTGTAAATTATTTTTATTAAAAAATAATTTTATTATAAGAAAATAGAATCATTAACTTCTAATCCATAAATCCTAAATATAATTTTTTTTAACTTATCAAATTATCTAAAAAATTTAAATAAGTCAATTAGAAAATAATCATCAAAAATAATTACGAGGTTTGTAAAAAAAAAATTACAAGAACGTGATTATATTATAAAGCATTTTTTTAATTTATCAAATTTTCTAAAACTTAAAACATATCAATTACAAAAAAAAACCTCCAAAATAATTATGAAATTTGTAAATCATTTTTACCAATAATTAATTATATCATAAGAAAAAAAAGCTCTAAACCCTAAATGCTAAATATGAAACCTTATTTTAATTTATCAAATTATCTAAATATTTAAAATGAAGAAATTTTAATGTCAATTACCAAAAAAATAACCAATATAATTACAAAGCTTGTAAACCATTTTCATCAAAATATAATTGTGTCATAAAACATTTTTGAATCTTTCAAATTACCAAAAGTTTAAATTTTAAATGTGAGTTTCAAATCATGTGCAAATAGTTAATAAAAAAACATACATGCATAATAATGAGTTGAGTATAGTTTGATTCAATTTCATGAATGAAAACTACAGTTAAATCAACAGATCAATTTTAATCCATAAAAAAAACATCAAAAAACTTGGAGATTGTTTAAACAAAACTTGATAAGCTTATTGAAATGAATTATAACCTTAAATTCTTTTTAGCTTAACACAAAATTTAAAAAGTTATATACCAAATGCTCCCTTAACAAGTTTTTTGTTTTTTTTTTTTTCAAGCTTTTATGCTTAAATTGATTCTTCCTTAGGAAAAAACTATTTGGAACCCATGGGCAGCGAGAAAATGGAGAATGTGCAACTAAACTGTATTTTTGCCAAGAATTGTTCATAGTAAAACACATCCAACCAACCCCAAAATGAACAAAAGCGAATAATTCGATGTTGTAAGTAAAATCTTAAGTCAAAGGCCACATAATTATGCAGAGTTCAACTGAAGTACAAGCACTCAATAACTTCGACGCACAAATTCAAGAACAGAAAAATTATGTCCATATTCTGTTCTTACTGTCTTGCATTTTCTTCCAAACAAGGCAAGTTTTCATTTCCTTCCTATAGAGTTCAAACACCCAAGTCATAAAGCATGTTATATCAAGCAATAATAACTAGCAGGTGGTTTAATTCTTATCAGTGTTGCTCTCCAACTCCCTTCTCAACTGAAGAGAGAAATCATCGCTAACATCATCATCATCCCAATCATCCTCCCACTGTTGAGTCACTTCTTTCCCTTCCTCCTTATCATCCCACTCTGAAAGTTGTGAAACAATAAAGTACAACAGAAATAAGAAGAAACATTAGAACACCAAGACCCCCAACAAATCGAGTTGAATAAGCATTTTCTAACACTAATACCCAAAGAACTTTGAATACAATCACTAGAAACAGATGATAATAATAATAATAATAACAACTCCTCCTTAAGTAATTGAATGAATCCTAATATCAGCACAATGAAAGTAATTATTACTAACAATAAACACGATCATAGTGGTGGAGGAAGTGGTATGTCCAAGGTCCTATATTCGAACCTTAATGCCATCATTGTAATTCTTACCGATATAAATTAAAAATAATAATAATAAAAAAATGAGCTATATTATAACAGAATAATGCCTCATCTGGATGCAGTAAGGTAGTGTTCAGTAGACATGTTAAAGCAGCACGGAATATGCATAACAAGAATTTTAATCCATGTTAGGTAGCTATTAAAAAAAAAAACATAAAATGCGTGGCTTATGTGGTAGAGCCCGATGTGTGCTGTGAATGTAAATCTTGAAATTTTAACTGCTATTGTAGGGGCACATTTTAATCCTTCAAAACCATACTTGTTAAATTGCAATAACATCCTTTCACCCAGTCCATCTTTCTCACATTGCTTTTGTTACCGCAAAGCTCAGCATCATTACTTCAATCAGGGAAATAAAATTTTAGCCCCTTAAGAATTGTGCCCCAAGGTTTAATAGTTTTCCTCAAGTGATTAATCAATAAATCTCAATTATAAGCAAACATATTGAACCCGGAAATAAACTACACCATGTTTTCTATACATCAAAATAAATGAAAGTCAATCAATCTTCAGTTTTTTTTCAGTGAATTAATCAGGTGCTACAGATGAATCTTTAAATGACAGATCGACTCAGTCCAAAACACAACTACCAACTACTTGAACGAACCCAATAGTTGTTATATAATAAGAAAAGCTGCCTGAATTTAGAGAATTTGATGGCACAGGGCCAACTTTTTGAAATGTAATCTCCCCTCTGAGACCACCATACCAACGAACACCAAGTATTAGATCCATACAATGCTAAACAAACAACCATGTCAAATCTATCGATCACGAAAGCAAATACATAAATGCCCCTTTCGTTATTTATTAGTAATGCCTTGGTTCAAAATTTCAAATCTATTCCAGAAGGTAATTTACAACTAGATATTCATTCAAAGGTCCTAAGTGTTAAAAAATGGGTTCATAAAAAAATACACCATGAAGAAAAGGTAAGGACTGAAAAGAAAAAGACAAGTGCATATAAGATTAGAAGCAACAGGTGCAAATCAAACACTTAAGAACGCAAAAACTGTACCTAAGTACCTTCAATGCTAACAAGGAATGGGAAAAGTAAGAAGCAATCGAAAATGCAGTGTTAGAAAATGGAGGTTTCCAGTGCAGGCTTACGGTTGGAGGGTAGCTTTGTGGCAAGAGGACAGTAGCTCTGGTTTCAGGTATAACAAGGGTTGGATAGACAATAAATTTGGAGCAGGGAACAACTCACAAATTAAACTAATTATTCAAATGCTATACCCGAGTCTCACCCAAATATGCATAAAATCCCTAATTTCCCTAATCTCTTAAACGAGCACAGTCCTCCATCGAAGTAAACTAATGGGTGTCAAATGTGCAGCATTTGATGATAGATTTATTAGAGACCAAAAAGTCAGATAGGTAATGTTCAAACTAATTCAGAAGACAAAACATTTTTTTTCTTTTTTTTTTTTTACTTTAAAATCGATGAATGAGAATACTAATATTTACCTTCATTGATTTCAAACTCTTCAAACTCGTCGTCGTCTTCGAAGAGATCGATCTTGACGTCCTCGGTGGCTGCTTTTGGTTCGGTGGCCATGGATAAACAGTTATTTGGAAACCCTAAGTTCGTAATTTGATGAATTTAGGAAAAAAAAAAAGTGAAACAAAATTAGGTTTAATAAAGGGTAATAAGGTGTAGCAATATCGAAAAATTGATATAATCAATAATCAGAGTGGAAATATTACTTACGGGCCGAGAGAAGTTGGAGTGTTGAGCTAGAAAGTTATGCTTTTGAATGAAGTATGCTGAAGAAAGGTTAATCTGTTTATATACTGAGAAGAAAGGTTAATCTGTTTATATACTGAGAATCGGGGCTAGCGTGGGTAACATGATCACATGACCCACGGTGCGAGAGTTTTGCATACCGTTAGATAAATGAACTAAAAAATCAACGGTAATGATTGTTATTTTATTAATGTTGGAGGAGAGAGACGGGAGAAAAAATATTATAGAAGAGGATCCAAATTATTAATAATAAGGACAGTAAAGAATATATTTTAATATAATTTTAAAAAATAAAAAATACAATTTTCTTATATTTTAATAAATAAAGAGAGAATAATGTAAAAAAATGTATTATATTAATAATATTAAATTAAATAGAATATATTATATATTTTAACACAAAAATATATATAATACTCTTATATTAATAAAAAAAACTAAAAAGTAATGTAATTTACTTCAAAACAAACAGATGAGAAAAACAAATTTTAAAAAAAATATTCCACGTGAAAATCTATACATCAATTTTTCGTTTTTTTGTTGCACAATCTGGGAAACCTGACATACTACAGCATCCTAGCCTCTGTCATTGAACAAGTGGTGTATAAACACTCATAAGTTTATATGTTCTTATTAATACTTGAAAAAGACGAGTGTTATCGTAATCCGGTAGCACTCCACTTTCATAGGTGATTTACTGTGCACATTTTTACCTACCTTCAGATGTATCTTTTTAAGATATTTATACTAAAATTTTATGACTAAAAGAAAGAAGAAAAAAAAAAAGAAAGATAAAAGTTTGAAATACAATAAATGATGAGATTGAAAAAGATAAAATAAAAAATGTTATATAAACTGTTGTAGATGTATCCTTCCTAATTCACCGTTAGACTTAGCTACCAACTACCAAGTTATTTTAGAAACCTGAATTTCTGCATTATTAAGAAATTTCAAGTTAACTAGTTTCCTAAAGCCTTTTAAGGGTTTGGATTAGGTACAGTTACGTTTTGATGCAGTTATGTGCAGGTTAATAAATTTCTCTCACATAATTCGTCCAAGCATTCACATTCTATCACATTATTTCTTTAATATTAAAAATAAAATTTCACATTTTGTATTCAAGTAAAGATTGAAAGATCAGTACATTTTTCTATATAAATTCACAAAAAATCTAAAAAATCACTAATTTAATTATAAAATAAATAATCTAAATTATATTTATAAAATAAAAAATAAGACAAAATTATAGAGATTAATATTATAAAATTCCAATAATACTATAAAATCATTAAAAAAAAGAATTAATAAATAATAGAAATAAAAATTATTATAATATAGAAATTCAAAAATTT